AAGACCAAGAGGATGAAGCCCATCTATCCAAATCTCTAAACCATTTAGAAACCATTTTAAGGGTCTTTGGCTTTTGTCAGCACTCCTTTATAAGTCTCACTCTCTCGTGGCTCACTTTTTTGCTTCTTGGTATTGCTCTTCCTGTTGTGATGATCCACTATTTTTCTTACTGCACTACTGACTGTAAGAAGTACCAAATTCGTAGCTTTGAGATTCAGGTTTTGGTGTTTCAGTGTCTAGTTGCTGCCATTTCTCTTGTTTGTATTTCACATAACTTGAGGAAGTATGGGTTCAGGAAGTTTCTTTTTGTGGACCGCTATCATGGACATATGGCGCAGTTTCGTGATGAATATGTGAAGAAGATCAATGTAAGGAAAACCTTTTTTTCTTTTCTTTTCTAAATCTGTTGTAGTTTTTTAAGTGATCAAAGCTATAGATATTTTATTATTAATTTTTTTGTAATTGTTTTGGTTGTGGTTAATTTGTTAAGATTCATACTTGATGTGTGCAATTACTAGTCATGGCTTGAGCATTGAAGGCAGTAGAGAAGTTGGAGTGATTTTAATGGGGTCAGGTTTTGACATTCAATAAATCAAACTGTGCTGTCTATTATTTTATCTATCTATCCGTCTATTATTTATATCTTTTTGAGCTGGTTCATTGCCCATTGCTTGGAGATGATGCTTTAAAAAGAAAGAAAACCAAATAACAAATTAGCAAAAAAAAATAATAATTGAAGTATAATGCTTTCTGTTGTAGATTAACAATCAGATGCATGATTCCCTTAACAGCGGATCCCTTTTCCTATTATCTCAGATTAATTATAATCACGCTATAAAAAGAGTCATGCTGTCAACTTTAGTTTACCAAAGTTGAATGTTTGTCCTTTTATTTGTAGTTGTGTCATGCACTTCTGCTCTTTTTATTGATTTATTTATTATTAATATCCTTTTGGATCGTTTGATTGCATGGAGATACTGTTTCAAAAACAAATCCATCGAAGAAACTATCAATAATAGGCTATTGAAGAATTGTGCTGTGAAGTAAGATACTCGAGTCCATTAACAGAGGAATGTTTTCTCCTACAATCTCAGATTAATCAGTATCGTGGAATAGAATATCATGTTGTCCATTTAATGAACAGAGCTTAAAACTGCCTTTTCTTTAATCATCTGTATTTATGCCATGCACTTGAGTGGATGTTTTGATTCCTGAATAACCTGGTAAGAAAACAGTGAAGAAATCTTCCTCTGTTAGAACATTTCTGTTATAATCATTAATTTTTTGTGTAGTTGTGATTATAATATATTTTATTCATAGATGCCAAGCCATTTATTAGAAAACTCTATATATTCAGGGTTTCTTCCGCTTGTTGGCTGTATGGGTGATACCATTCCTCCTCCTGAAGATTATTCGCGAGGCTGTTCGCATTATATATGTACCACACCATTCTTGGGGGCAATCTGTTGCTATACTGATAGCTTTGATTGTCTCATGGACCTATTCAATCACTATCTATTTATCAGGCTGTGCTTTATTCAATTTAGTATGCAATTTTCAAGTGATTCACTTTGAAAATTACGGGAAGCTCTTGGAAAGGGATATGGATGTTTCACAGTACATTGAGGAACACATTCGTCTAACACATTATCTATCTAAGATAAGCCATAGGTTCCGAATTTTTTTCATTCTTGAGCTCTTGGTTGTGACAGCGAGTCAGGTCGTGGCTTTATTTCAAACTACATGGAATAGTGAAATTATCAATTTCATCAATGGTGGTGATTTTGTGGTAAGTGCAGAAAAATATGCTGTTGCTTTTTCGTTCTCAATTTACCATAGATTTGATAAGGAGCAACTTGTTCAATTCTAAATTCCACCTCTTGCAGAAACTTGTGTTATGCTTAATTGTGTCTTTACCTTTAAATTGAAGCATTATATGTAGATAACATCCCTAGTTACAAAATCATCACCTTTTAGCAATATCTCATGAAATTAGTTACAAAAGAAGTACAAGACTTTGGATGGAAAAGGAAAGGTAGACCTTCTAATGCAAATTGTTAAACAATACAACTCACGGCTTTCAAAGTTAGCTGAAAATATTTGAATAATACACCAGCATCTCCACGTGTTTGCATAGCAATTCTAGACTTGAGTTTCTTTCTTAGATTTCATTTTTGTGATGGTTGCAGATCTCTTCTATAGTTGAGCTTGTTGGTTTAATAATTTGCCTGCATGCTGCTGCAAAAATCACACATAGAGCACAAGGCACTGGATCAGTTGCTGCTAAATGGCATTCTATAGTTACATGTGCCTCTGATGACACTTCTCAAGTGGAAATAAGCAGCAATTGTGGAAGCTCGGAGGCTGCCAACACAGGCCATTTATTGTGCATAAATTATTCGGAAAGTGATTTGGAGGCAGTTGACTATGTGCCAGTGCCAACTACTACCCAGTTGGCTTCATATATGTCAACATATCACAAGAGAGAAGCTTTTGGTACGTATCTAAATCAACAATCAGTTCTGTGCACTCAAATTGTCGTCTCTTTTTCACTGTAGCTACAAATGAAAATACGTTTCATATTAGTAACTAATCAGTTCGTCCTAATCCTAAGTGGTGGGGATTCACTCATCCTAGGCTTGCTGCATGTAGCTGCTAGACTCATCATGATAGAGACTTCCATCGCGTGTACAAGCAAAGAATCTCTTGCTATGTGAGATAGGTTCAGCACCAACCTGAGATAGGTTCAGCACCAACCAAGCCAAGTTGGTCATACCTTATAGTACACACCAAAACTAGTAGTAATCAATTTTTATCAGCCACACAAAACCCTTTTTGACACCCTGGTCTCTGAACCCCTATCAAATTTCAGACTTTCCCTGAGGCCAACAGTTTTTTTTTTCTTTTCTCACATCACAAAAGGCTTCCAAGGCCTATACATTTGGACGCTACTTGAACTGATAGTAAACAGCAATAGTGGGGATAGCATTCAATTCTGCTGTTAAATATATAGGTGTCGATGTGGTGGCAAACCTTTGTTTTCCCAAATAGGACCATTCAAGAGACAACCCTTTTAATTTAATGATGATTTTGATTCTTATGCAACTATTTATATAGCTTGAACAGATTCATTCTTCTAACCAACATCTCTGGCAACTACCAAGAAAAGGAAAAAAGTTTAGCTCCTTGGTTGCATCATATAATCAAGATCTGGCATATCAAAAGCAGATAATTGAATATCAATCTACTAAAACTATCAGTCATTCAATTTCTGTGGCTCTTTTCATTTCTTCCTCGGAATAACCATGAAGTTAACTGAACCCTCCTTTTTCTTTTGCAGTGACGTATTTGCAGTCCAATCCTGGTGGGTTTAGTGTTTTTGGATGGACAATTGACCGGACACTCATCAACACTATCTTCTTTTTGGAGATGTCGCTGGTTCTTTTTGTACTTGGGAAGACCATAACTATCTATCATTCGTAAATTCACACAGCATACCCCATAAAACTTGCATATTCCACCCAATTTTTTGCTGGAGTCAATGGGCAGCATAATTAGTACTTTGTAGATTCTGATACGTTGTTTGTGTAATTGTTTTAGATGTATTTCTATGTTGGCAACCTTGTTCTAACATCAGGTTGCATACTAAAGTTGATAAATAAGATTGAATGCTGTTTTATAGGTTTAAATTTTCCTTGTTCCAAGCACATTCTTTTTTCCCGAAAGAACTCTTTATGATATCAGTCAGCTATAAATCCCAGTCAAACTCCTCACTTGTTGCTCCAGTTGAACAGGATTATCACAAATGATATGATAACATTGGAAGATCATAGCCAGTTTTTTTCTCGCCTGATTTACATTGCACTTATATTTTGCTTCTGATCCATCTGTGCAGCTCTACAAGGTGTTTGTCTCAATTATTGTACAATTGGGATTGGAGAATTGTTGCTCTTATTTACTGTCTCCGCAGGAAATATATAGAATACCCCTATAAATGCGTGGTCGCAGTGATTTTTTTGTTATTTTATTATTACTTTAGGGGGGGCTAAAAATGGGTTATGGCACCAAGTGTTACGTGATGTAACATAGCCAAGTGTTTCAGTCATCTGTATGGAGCATGATTCCTGAGAAAAATATTTGTCTGGACAAAAATCAATAATTCTGAACGGATCATAGGCACATGACATTATTTTCGGTAGAAAAAGAGTCGAGGATGGCATTTGCATGTTGCTTACTCAGTAGACAATGATATCACCTTACCCCCCGATTTGTTTTTTCTTAGATAGCGTACTGATCTTCATCCACACTGCTGTAAGTTGAACAACAATCAAAGAATTTATGAAGTGAATAGCGGAAACCAGGCAACCCTTTTTACTCTTCGGGAAACCCCTAGAGTGTAGCAGAAAACGATGCCTGAAGAAATTATATGCAAGCAAGAAAGGCATGGGGGAAATGAACAGGCTAGCATGCAGAGGATGGAGATGTTAATTAAAAATAAAGAAAACAGTGGTGTTTCCCCTCTACGCTCTGGATTGAATGCTCATACTAATACATAGATAACCTTTTTCAGATTCGTTCTTCTAATAAAACATCTACGGTAACTATGAAAGTATAAAAATTTATTTAGTTGCCTGCACCAGAAAATCAAAGATGATAATCAGAAAATGAACCGTTGGTCAATCGGAACCATCACTTACTTGGACTCTTGAGCCAATTCTTCCTTAACAGCACTTTCTTCGTTTTAGAGATGAAGTCGCTTGTTCTTTTTGTAAGAATAGAGCCATCTGATTTGAGAAGAGGGTCGGATCATTGATATTTTCTAGATTCAGATATATTTTGATGTTTGGGATGGATGTTTTGTTGCCATGTTAGCAGCCATGTATAAACATTAGGTCGCTTGCTGAGGTTGACAAACAACTTGATGCCTGATTTCTAGTGTCAAATTTCCTTCTAAGCGCCTCCGAAAAGCGAACAATTTAAGCTCGACAAATCTATAACGGTTCATATAAATTTTTGGCCCCATTTCTCGTTTAAGATCATCTAAGTTTTTATAACATAACATCTTCAGTCTATATAAATGGCTGAATTACATGGGACATCGATTTTACAACTCTCTCGTCCATTGATAAAGCATAACAGGTGAACGAACATTCAGGACTGGAGAATTATTGCTCCCCCACATACCGCCTCCGCAGGCAACGAGCTCAAGAGGAGTTTTGACATCATTGAGCATTCAGGATTATCGCTCCTCTACTTAATGGCTCCGCGAACAAGAATACTCATTGACAGATGGTGCTACTGCACTTCTGTGATGTTTGTTCTGTCGAAAGCAAAACCACGCCCCATGTAGGTGTTCAAGTGAAGGAAAATAAGCTCGTGTTTCAAAGTCAGACGAAGCATATGCTTCGGGAGAAAAATACCTCTGAATTAATAAATGTCATTGATTTCAAAGTATTTTTGAGCTGTGTTCATCACAAAATGATCAAAAGAACATCATTCCTGGTAAAGAAACAGAGGTGAAGATTGAACTGAAACGTCCAAATGAACAAATGGGCATTCACGTATTGCTCGCTTCCTCAAACATGAGGCCACAACACGTTTGGCAGTCTTCTCTATATTAAACGCTGCTGTAACTCGAAAGCCCAAAGAATAGAGAGACAAGAATCCAAGAATTTGTGAAGTAGAGTGGGAAAGCAGAGCACATGGGAGGCAATTGCATGTGCTATTCTTTTTATGTTCCGCAACATTAAACCCCTTCTAATCCCACACTCATGAACAAGTGGGTATGGAGGGAGCAGGGGATATTCCTCCAAACCTGCACGGGAGCACATTTTTGCAAAGAAAATGATGCATATTCAAAATGATCTTGGATCAAGAAAGACAAGTCAGTCAGAACAGACTAACAAGCGAGGATTGAGTGCAAAAAAAGAGCAAGGGGGTTAACCTTTCCACATTCTATTCACATACCGGCTGAACATCCAACCAAAAGAACTTGAGAAACACGGTCGCTGAGTAGTTGCAAATTCTATTGCAGCCATCATTGAAGGAAGCTGGTAACTCGGAAATTTACAGGGATCAGAATCAAAAGAACATAACATGTATAAATGAAAAATGAAAAATCTTTACACGTGTTGACAGAGGTCCAAAAGAACTTGTGGACCCATGAAAAACCAACAGAGGCTAATGACACATCAGCGAAGCAGGGATGTATATGTAAGTTATGCATCATTTGTTCGCAAATATACATCAGAATTATCTCAAAAGGGGCACCTGATTTAACACTATAAAGAGCACTTTCCAAACAAATTTCACAGGTTATCAGGTATGTTTTTTTACATTGAATAATGTAAGCCTAACAAAATGCTATAGAAGCTTAACATTACGTTTCTTCTTCTTGAGCTTGATAGAAAATGCATTGACAAGCTGAACCACAAAAGCGTAAAATAGAACAGGTTTTCATGTGCTGAATTTAAAAAGCAGAAAGCTGACTATGAATAATAAATCAAGACAACGATATCAAATACAGTCTTGGCTTTTGTGAGAGCATAAAAAGAGTCAACGTGAAAGTAGAATCAACTGAACGTCAGGGGAAATTTTAATCTGGATCAAAACAAGCAAATATATAAAACCAGATTACATAATCATCAAACAAATAGGAGGTTCAGTACCTTACAAGAGACCAGAAATATCAGCGCCCCAATCCATTGCCTTACATCAGTTCTCTCTAGCAAGCAAAGTTTGAATATACAAGAAAATAGATTGAATAACAGTTTAGCACTAAATGAAAGAATATATATAAATAAATCTAATCATTTATAACTGAGTTGAGAAATATTTACACTCATTCTGAACTCAAGCTGATTAAAAGAGAACAGAAACAAAGGAAGACAAAGAAAAAGGTCAATACTCAGGACCTTGCGGGTCAAGGACTGCAGGATCATTACAAAAAAGGATGTAAATCCCAAAGGATGATATCCACCAATATGTGCCAGATAACACCTGGTACTGCCTTCCTTCACCGATGCTCCTGGAATCTAGACACTTCATTGTTCTTTGATTAGGCCTAAGAGTCAGAGTACAAGTTGAGAAAAAGGCACACAACAAGAAGCCCTGTTCTGGGAAATAGTGAAGAAAAGGTAAGAGGTTCACGAAATTGTTCTCAGTTGTGTACTGCTTCTAGTCATCCAGTCTATCAGCTACCTGTTCTTTGCATACTGAGGAGGGAAAGTAGGCATGAATTCTTTTGATTTTGATAGTGGGACCTCATTAAACCAGGGATGATTAAGAGCATCATCTGCTGTTATTCGCTGCATTAGCAATAAGCAACACCAATTAGTATAATAATCATATATTTTAAAAACCGTGGGGCAGTAACAAAAACCAACTTGGAACATATGCACTACAATTACCTTCTCTGGGTCATAAGTTAGAAGTCTGTTTAGCAAGTCAAATCCTGAGTCAGAGAGAACTGGAGATCCTGTGAAAGGTGTGAAAGGAAACTTCTTACGTAACTGATTATACCTGAAAAAGAAAGCAGTATCTATAAGGTGTGCAGGCCAATGGCATTCAGATATTTTTAAAGGGAAAAAAATAATAACAGACAGGATAGAACAAACAGATACTTACGGTTGCTTAACAAAATTTGCTTTTGCCCCTGGCAATTTTGATAACCCAGGCCAAATAGTTTCGTTTGGTGTGCCAAGAGTTTTGAAGATCTGCAATCATTTTTATTTTTTTTCAAATCAGAAAAGAACTATGGAAAATAAATCTTACAAGAAATAAAATCAAATGAGTGAAGTACCAGAGCAGAAGTTGATTTGTACCTTGTCAAGCTGATCAATTTCACCTTTCCCTGTGAATAGGGGTTCCTTGGTCAACATTTCAGCCATTATGCAACCCACTGACCACATGTCTACTGCTGTAGAGTATTTCTTTGCTCCAAGAAGTAGTTCTGGTGCCCTGCAATGTAATAGTAACACTAGGTAAGCTTAAAACTTCTAGTTATTCCAGTACAGAAAATTACAAGGGAACTTCAAAATACACAATAAATTAAGCATGTAAAGTGCAACTTACCTGTACCACAAAGTAACCACCAGAGAGGTATATGGCTTCAATGGGCTACCATACTGGCGTGACATCCCAAAATCACATACTTTCAACTCTCCTTGGTTATTCAAAAGAAGGTTTGATGTCTTCAAATCCCTGTGAAGCACCCAATTATCATGAAGATATTTGACACCTTCCAAAAGCTGTAGCATTAAGCATTTGACTTCACTTGTACTGAAAGGCTGCTTCATCGCTTGCATCAGCCCCTTGAGATCATGTTCCATGTACTCCATCACCATGAAAACACTATCAAGGTCCCCCATCACAACTTCTTTAACTCTCACAATTGAAGGGTGATCAAAAGACATAAGAATGTTAATCTCCCTCAAAGATGTCAAGGGGAAACCATACTCTTCCAAGTATTTGTCTCTTCCGACATTTATCTTCACTTTCTTCAAAGCCACAAATTCTCCAGTCTTCTTATCCCTGGCTTTGTACACTTTACCATAGGTTCCTTCATTGATTTCATTGAGTCTTTCATACTCGAACACGCTTCTACAACCCTCTAGCATATTAAACCCCCTTTGGTTAGTAACTGTGGGCTCTTCACCAGTGGTTTGCTCCATCTCATTATCACTGGCATTTCCATCCCTAATATCATCAATGTCCATGACATCATTTTGCAATTCATATTCAGAAGCAGAGCTGCCACTGTAAGCTCTTTCATCCAATAGAGATGAACTTGATCCATCTCTATCTGAGACTTCTCTCTGGAACCCTTCTCTATTAATCAAATCTGTCCTGTACACCATTTCTCCGTGCATTCCTTTATCATCAATCAAAGTGGTATCCCTTGGAGAATCATCATCAGAAGCCCACCGGGACATGGATATATTCCGTGCTTCAGGAAGCTCTTCCTCCTCCACTTGTCCCTGCTCTTGGTCATAACCCTCATCTTTCTTTGGATGCAACGAAGAAGACAAAGGAGCTGGATACTCAGATCCAATACCATCAGTTGATCCTCCATCCACACAATCCTTGTCCACCAAAAGCTCCAATCCTCCTTTGACAGGACTTTTCACAACATCCTCGTCTGAAACAACATTTACATCCCGAGTACTACTCCTCTGAACAACTCTATTCTTTGAAGAAATCTTCGCTTTTTTCTCCTCAACATCCCATACAATAGGAGAAAACTTCCTTTTCTTCTCTGCGGGCAATTGAACCCCATCTTCATTTGCTGGTATCTCACCTTCCTCATATTTCGAGGAACCGAAGGCATTAAATTGCCACGGTTCCCCTGACTGTTGTTCTTCATCTCTACAACTAAGCCCACCTCGTCTAAAATCAAAACTAGGCACAATCGTTGAACTATGATAACCATTTTTCCGTACCAAACCACGATCACCACCCCGCTTCACCTTATCAAAATAACCACCACCACCCTGCCTCCTAGACACATCGAGCCGCCCTGCCGCCATATTATCAACAACCACAACACACAACTCTTCTCAATCAAAATTCACAAGGAAGCAAACAAAACAAATTTTTCCAGATACCCAAACACAAACCCTAATTCAATTCAATTTCCTGTTTTTCTTAAAAAAACAAAAACAAAACCAAGGTACTTCAAATCTATTAAGCAATCAAACAAATATATGGAAAATTCCGTATACGATTAATTGGAGAAAAAAATGAAATTGATTGGAAAAAAAATCGAAACCCCAGATCGTGATTATTTTTCTTTTGTTTTTTTGGTTTTGACGGTGTCTCTCCTTGAGATAACACAGGTAATCAAAGATCTTACCGGAGATATAGAGAGACGGAGACAAAATCTACGTTGATCGGAATCGGAGAAACAGTTGAAAAAAAAGAGGAGAGAGAATCCAAAGCGTGTTTACGCAATTATGTGAGGTGTTCTCGTTTGACCACCGCTAGTAATTGGAATAATTTATATAGAGAGTTTTGAGTCGGCTGCTACTCGTTTTTTCTGTGGACTTCTGGGCGGTGAGATTCTTGTCTCTTTCCTTTTTCTTTTTTATGTTTTAGATCCTTGAAATATTTTATATTTACATTTCTAATGCCCCTCCTTTTGCCATTTTATTATTGTGAGCCACAAGAGGTAATTAAATAAAAACTTATCTCATAATATTATTCTTGACTCTATATTACTTTGTATTTTTTTAGTTTCTTATAGAAACATTTTTATGATTTTATAAAATTATTCTGATGGATTTTGCGTATTAGAATATATTTTAAATGAAAACATTTCATGGTAATTGTAGAAAAAAAATTATTATGCATTTTTATAAATAAAAAATAAGATTTAATGTTATAGTAACTCATTCTTTATATAAATGTGATTAATTAAAAATTCTTAGCTTTCAAGAACGTTACTAGGCTTGTTATGCCCACAAAAAAAGCTACCTTATACAGAGCTTCATGATCTGTTTTCTTGAGCTTAAAACTAGTAAACTCTTTATTTATCCCATTTGATAGAATATATTTGTCAGCTTATAGCCTTGTATTGTGCCTCCATCCCACCACCATCTCCTCCAGTAATTTGTAGTTCCTAAAACAAGCACAAACACCATAATTATTATGTGTGGTTCCGCACTATGTGATAATGGGACCACCATATTAATTAAAATTTTGATTTAAATGTGTTTGCTACTACTGATGGTAGTAGCATTACTGAACAAAATAGAGAAGAGAAAAGGGGAGAAAGAAAAAAAGAAGAAGCAGTAGAGCAATCTGTCTTCTTTTCTCGATTTCCATCTCGTTCATCATTGGATCAAGTTGAGATTTTGATAGCAGCTTTTAAATATATTACTTTGCATTCTGATAGAAAATAGAGCTATTAGTATTGTGAGTTTTTCTCAAATACTTCTTCTTTATTCTTGTTGTATTCCAGGAATAAATTGTTCTTAATGATATGTATATTATAACCCTTAGTTGAATCTAAGAAAGAACAGTTATGAACTCAATATTTATTGATAGTGGAAGTTTTAAGGTGCACTATGGTCCTATGGTTTTTCCAGTATCGGGTTTTCCACGTAAAAATCTTGGTGTTGATTTTTGTGATTGTTGCTTTATATTTGTTAATTGTTTAATCCTGATTTTGATTGCATAAAGAGGAAAAAGAATTAAAACTTGAGAATTGTGAATTGATCAAGGTAGATTGGTGTTTGGTTATTTGTTCCTAATTTTCCCAACAAAGTGGAATCAGAGCACTAGTTGTGTAGATTAAATTTCTTGTGCAGCTAAAATGGAAAATGAAGATTCATGCATGATAAAACTCACTTCCTCTAATTATTTTCTATGAAAAACAATGATAGAAGATCATTTATATTGTAATGATTTAGCTTTGCCACTTAAGTGTAAAGAAAAAAAGTCTGATGAGATGGATGAGGTAAAATGGAATGAGCTTAATAGAAAGACGACTATTTATGTTAAAAAAACAGGTATCTTCTAAGTCCATCAATCATAGTTTTCAAAAACATGACTGCTATACAGTTTGGAAGATGTTGGAAACAACCTTTACTAAAGAGAGTGCACAAAATAAGGTTTTTATAATTAGAAACCTTGTAAATTTAAAGAACAAAGATGGTAAAGATGTTTCAGTATATATAAATTAATTTTAAGGGTTCTTGAATCAGCTGTCATTGATGAATCTTAAGTTAGCCGATGAGATGCAAGCATTAATCGTAAGGCAAAGAGCATTTAGTTTGAAAGTTAAAAGGGAGCTTTCATGAGTTAAAGCAAGCTCTAAGACAATGGTACATGAAGCTTGATTCTTTCATGGTGAATCATGGTAATGACAGGACCACTTCTGATAATAATGCATTTATGAAAAGGTTTCCAGATGAAAACTTTATTATTCTTTTATTATATATGAATGATATGTTGATTGTTGGTTATGATGCTAAGAAGATTCAAATTCTAAAGGAAAAGTTAAACAAGTTTTTTGTAATGAAAGACTTAAAATTGGCAAAACAGATTCTTGGCATGAAGATCACACGTGATAGGAAGAATGAGAAACTTTGGATATCTCAGGAGAGATATGTTCAAAAGGTACCTGAGAGATTCAATATGAATAACTCTAAACTTGTTTGTTCTTCACTTGCAGACCACTTTAAATTAAGTTCTAAGCAGTGTCCTTCAAGTGATAAAAAAATAGATGAGATGAAAAGGGTTCCTTATACATCCGCGGTTGGCAGCTTGATGTATATCATGATTTGCACAAGGCCAAATATAACTTATATAGTTAGTGTGGTTAGTCGATTCCTCTCCAATCCTAGTAAAAAACATTAGTCAGTAGTGAAATGGATACTCAGGTATCTTAAAGGTACTTCTAGTTTCAACTTATGTTTTGGTAATAATAATCTCATGTTAGATGAATACACATATGCAGATATGGCTAGTAATGTTAATTTTAAAAAGTCCATATCAGGATACTTGATGAAGTTTGCAGAGGGAACAGTCTCATAGCAATCAAGGTTGCAAAAATATGTTGCATTATTCACTACAAAGGCTAAATATATTACTCTTACTAAAGGGGTAAAAAGTTGTTATGGATAAAGAAGTTCTTACATGAACTTGGTTTAGTTTAAGATAACTTTGTGTTGCACTATGATAGTCAAAGTGCAATCCATCTCAGTAAGCATCCTGCTTTTCACCCTCGATTAAATAATATTGAAGTTAGATATTAATGGATTCAAAATGTTATAGAGATGAAGTCATTTTTTTTTAAAAAAAGATCTATATTGATAACAACGTGTCAGACATAATAACCAAACCTCTACCGAAAGAGAAGTTTGAATTTTACAGAAGGGAAGCAGGCTTGGTAGAGCCTCCTAAATTGAAGCTTACATATTGATCGCCAATATGATGAATTCCTCACATGGTACTTGAGGGGGAGATTTGTTGTGTGTGGTCCCGCATCATATGATGGTAGGACTACCATATTAATTAAAAAAAGACAGTTGGTTGCCTATTTGATTTAAATATGTTTGATACTATTAATGGTAGTGGCATTATTGAACAAAAGAGAAAAGAAAAAAAAAAGTAGTAGAGCAATTTTTCTTTTCTCAATTTTCATCTTGTTCACCGTTGGATCGAGTTGTGATTTTAACAACAGTTTCTAGACACGTTATTCTTTATTTTGAACAGTTGGATCAAAAATTATTGATGTGAAAGATGGTCGTTTTCATAGAAAACGGGGCTGTCAGTAGTGTAAGTTTTTCTCAAATATTTCTTCTTTAATCTTGTTATATTATAAAAATAAGTTTTTCTTGATTATATGTATATTATAGCTTTTAGTTGAATTTAAGAAAGAATAGCTGTGAACCTATTATTTATTGATAGTAAAATTTTTTAGGTGAACTACGATCTTATAATTTTTCTCATATCGGATTTTTCATGTAAAAAACTTAGTGTTGATTTGTGTGATTATTACTTTATATATATTGATTGTTTGATCCTAATTTTGATTGTATAAAAAAAAAATTGAAACTTATGAATTATAAATTTATCCAGGTAGATTGATATCTAATTATTTTTCCAACAATAATCAATCCTGAAATCTTTCATTTTATTCACATTGGATTAATCTCGCTCTCGTAAAGCCAAAATTAACGAGAAAGAAGAGTAGCGTTGCTAGAAAAACAGGAGAGTAATGGGACTAGCAACTTATGAAAATTACTATGCACCGCCCCATGCGGAGAAGTTTTGGCTACGATGCTCCAGAAGGGGTTGAAATTAGCGGCAGATATGATGGGGACTTTGCAAAGATCCTTACCAGGGTTTAGGAACCGTATCAAGTATGCAATGGAGTGTCGCAAGGAAGCCAAAAGGAGGTACAATTAGGGGGCTTTACCAGGGTTTGATCCAGCTACAAGGTACATCAGGGAAGGTGATTGGACATGTGCGCCTGTCCCACCAGCTGTTGCTGATAGGAAGGTGGAGATCACGGGGCCAGTGGAGAGGAAAATGTTCATATCAATGAACTCAATTCTGGTACTCAAGTTTTCGTGGTCAGTATGACGGTTACTCCATCTCTATTCTCGGAGAGTCCCTGGTTTCTAAACATGAAATTGATGAATGATTGAATTCATGATCACGTAGGAAATTCCACAATATATAAATTTCCAGCAAGAAATGAAAATTAACTGTTGTAATTTGCAGATATGTCCATTTTGAGATTGCAATAAACAGAAGCAAAAATCTCCAGCTGGCAAGTGATGAATCAGGCCAGCAAGAAGTAATAGAAGCTGAACAAAATATATGATTGGTTTCCTTTAAACGTATGCAATTCAAAATTCGTTCATGATATAGAAACTGAGAATCTAGTTAATTTTGGTAGGCTGACTTTGAAGATGCACTGTCACCAAGTTGGGAGAACCTCGTGAGGGGACAAGTTAACCTGGAGGATGCTGTTGATGGGACTATATTACCTTTGACGACAAGGCCAGGAACAGGGTTTACATGTTGAATGATCAGATAGCTAAGTTGTTTGTTGGCAACTGCCTGAGGCACGCATTCTCATTGATGGAGAACCTGCAACTGGTTGCCTTGTGGACTTTGGCCTTTACTTTTACCGCAGCAATGCTGCATTCCTTCGGACTCAGGGTGCAGGATTTGGGCCTTTCTTTTATCTCCCAAAGATGGAGCATTCAAGGTAATCTTTCATCTGACATATTAAAGCAGCTAAATTGTCAAGCAATCATAACTTGGAAGTTTTTTCTGCACTTATTTTTTAGAAAAATGGAAACCCTTTTGAAAGTTCATAGAAAGCATCAATTAATTCAAAACATTATTTCAGCTTCAATTTCCCCTCTTACCTAAGAGTAGCGTTCTAAAGCAACCCTTTTGAAAGTTTTAAAATGTCATCGTTTTTTCTTGAATTTTCCATCCTGTTTACTTCCGTTTTTTCACCTTTTCTTTTAAAAAAATAAATAAATTGAAAAGCAAC